CAGAAGGGTGTAGGGATTAAGGAGAGGAAAGGAGGGTAACGATGGGTAGAGGAAAACAGGGGTGGGGTTAGAAAGAGGCAGGGGGGTTTAATTCGCCACGGATCTCTAGACTTCAGTTACGGTTCGAGGGTAGGAAGAACAACTGAGGGTCAAAGGGCTTATGGTTTAAGAAGAAGACGATAGAAAGGGGGCTCAGTCCGCTCTAGCAGAACACGCAAACTTACAAGGAAAACAGAGGTGGGGTTAGGAGGCAGGGGGGTTTAACTCATAAAGGATCTCCAGACTTTAATTACTGTTCGAGGGTAGGAAGAATAACTAAGGGTGAAAGGGTTTAGGGTTTAAGAAGAAGACGATAGAAAGCGGGTTCAGTCCACTCTAGCATAACACGCAAACTTGACAGCATCACAGCTGAGAGGAGCGGGGATGGGGTTAGACAGATTGGAAACAGCCAGGGAGATTAAATAGTACAGGCTAACTTAGGCAGGGGGGAGAGGGGGCAAATCCTTCCTCAGGGAATTAATCAATTCCATCTACTCGGGCCTCCCACCCATAAGGAGAGCGGGTGAGCTTTATATGTATTTCAAATTGACTTGCGGAGGGAATAGGAACCGGACTGGACTTGCGGAGGGAATAGGAACCGGACTGGACTTGCGGAGGGAATAGGAACCGGACTGGACTTGCGGAGGGAATAGGAACCGGACTGTTGCTCCCCAGAATGGTAGGAGTCAGAACTAAGAGGTTCTGTTTAAAAAACAAACAAACAAACAAACAAACAAACAAACAAACAAACCGAAGATACTAAATCAGTCCATCAGCCCACTCGCTTCCTTATCCTCTCCTTTGTCCAACGAACCTCCCTCCCCATGTTCTACAATTTCATGAATTGAGCCATCATGAGCTTTTTTCATTGCTTGTTCTTTTATCTTTGACTTGTATCCATCTTTACTGTTTCGACGAGTTCCTTAAGCTTCTGTTGCCAAAGCCGTCGGCTGTATCGCTTTGTCTCCTCACATCCACTGATGAATAGTTGCTCTGAAGCTGCTGTTAACGGGTTTTAGCACCCCCTTTTCTAAGCCTCTGAAACTGCTGTTAACGGGGTTTTAGCACCCCCTTTCGAAGCCAATTCAGAGCGCCTTTCAAAAGGCTGCGAGGACCTTTTCAATAAGCTCAGAAGTCCTGAAACCCTTTAATGAGCTGGTGCCATATCAAAAAGAGCCACCCCGATCGTCAACCATATGGCCACGACATTTGCCCACCAGAAACCAGTTCCGTCACAACAACAACAGCGTACACATGAATGTATCAGTGTGCCACGCAAGGAGAACCAAGCAGTTGTATTTTAAGCAGTTGTATTTTAAGCAGTTGTATTTTTCCTTTTCTTTTAATCCTGAAAAAGAGAGAACCAAGTAGTTTATCCAGCTGTGTGTTACTATTTTTCCATTTCCTTTCAGCAGATGACATGGGATGTAAACTAGATTGTGATTTGTAGTTCCCCTTCACTGCACTGTGCCTAACATTCCTTGGTGCTTGCATTGGGCATGCGCCAAGTCGAAAACTTCGTTTAGAAGAGAGAGGTGTGCAAGTGTGTGCATACACACACGGCAAGAAACAAAAAAAATTAAAAAACAGACAAACAGTTCAACACACGATCGACTAAACAACCAACAGATTGACACTGTTTGGATTGCTGACCTCACCTGTATTATCCTTTCACCCTCAAGGAGAGTTACTCTCTGTGGAAAAACTTTGCTGGATTTGTCCTCCCCAAATCCAAGTCGTCCGTGCTCCCCTCTGCCCCATGCATACAACTGTCAACACTCCAGCGTTAGTCGACGATGCAACACACACACACACACACACACACACACACACACACACACACACACACGCACACAAGAGCACATCCCCTTGCGCACACACATGCATGCACATGGACACATGCACACACAAGACTCCAAGAAAAAGGACAATGCAATGTGCAAAACTACTGCCCTGGAGTGGGATAGAGGTCTTGCAGCATATCAATCACCAGAGGCAGACAAAACTGGAGTGCAAAGTTTCATCACTTCAATTTTTTTTCCCTTTGGTGAACAACCCCTAAAGACACTAGCATGAATATCATTTTAGCGGTCTTAACATTATTGTATCAATCTGATTCCATCTGGTTTTGCGTTTGTGTTTATTACTAGTATGTGAATAGTACTGAATACGCTTCAGCCTTACGGGCTGTCCGTCTTTCTCTCTCTCTTCCAGCTCTCCTTTTTCTTCTATTGGAATTTCGGGCACTTCCACCGCACTGGGCACAAGCAGCAGCAGCACACTCCGGCCGTAGACTTATTATATCGACAACAAAAACGAGGTAGCAGCATGAAAGCAATAGTGGTGCAGTGAATGAAATCCCTCCATAATAGTGCATATTATGTGATAGACCAACAGCTACCGATGGCCTTCCATGAAACCGCAGAACCAAATATGGCAATTGAGTCAAGTGCAAGAGCAGGTGAGGGGAGCAGCCACAGAAAGCACACTGGAAAATGGTTTTTGAGAGCACGAACATCACAACCAGAAGACAAGACCAGATTCGTGCTAGCTAAGCAAGAAGGCCGATGCCCCGATGGTTTTTTTTTTTTTTTTTACTAGCAAGTCTAGCTTTGTCACGAATTGAGATCTCACTTGCTAATTTCACATGGGTTCTGAATTTTTCTTTTAAAAAAAAAGAAAAACAGAAAGACAAAAAAACAAACAGAAAGACAATAAAAAAGAACAGCAAGTGCAATAATTTGTTCAATTTCAGCCTGAGAACTCTGTGTTCTCTGTCCCGAAGGACATCTGTTAAAATTGAAACGATACAGAGAAGAGTAAATTAGCAAATGGCCCCTGCACAAGGACGACATGCATAAATCAAAAAGTGGTCCAAAAAAAAAAAAAAAACACAAAAAAAATTCTCTTAGGCGCTGATCCAAACGTAAAAAGAGAAAAAACAAGAAAGTCCCTTGAATGATGGACACGGGTAGTGCGGGGCAGAAAAGCAAACCGGGACTCCACACAGGCGGGTTCCGCAGGTCTTTCCCAAGTACCACGTCGAATTTTTTCGGGCTTCCACAGAGACGGACGTTCCTGTGGCCCGCCATATGGCCTGGCCTCCAGCGTCGTACAGTTCTCTGCTCCACGGACGGACATTGAAAAGGGCGACTCATTTTTGCGGCATCTTTCTCGGTAGGGGTAGGGGTCCTCGACCTTTCCATTTTGTTTAGCGCCGTTGGGCCGTTCATCACGGCTGACGTGCCACCTACACATGGACTGAAAACGTACCCATAACAAAGCGCGGCGCCCTGTGATCTCGGAAAGTGGCGGGATCCGCGTTTCTCAACGAAATTGGCTAACTTACGCACTTTCGGATCAGAAGCTTAGAAAGGTGCTCCTTTTGCCCTGATTTGTGGGAGATTTCTTACTCTCTGTTATCGGATCTGATAGTCCGTGAAAGGTGCTGCTTTCGCCCTGATCTGGGTTATCTTAGCCTATGTGTTTGATAGTCAATGTGTAAGTGGGTGTTCCTCGTGCATGCTAACTTCTAATGTGTTCCATCTGCTAACGATGTTCTCGTGCTCCAACTCTGTCACCCCGAGACAGATGGATTCACAAGTAGACACGGTCGCAGAGGCAGAACAAAATTTTGACACACATGATATAGCACGACCAGGGACAACAGTCAAATTTAACAGGGACAAAACAGGAATTTCCCAGAAAGTTCAGAAAGTCAATCCAGCTGTGGAATCCGGTGGGCTAACAGTTACATGTCAGGCTGGTACACAACCAAATCTTAGACTTGCAACAACCTAGGCACACTCATCTGCAGGGTACAGTTCGGTACACGAGTTCGCAGCGATGGCCCTGCCCAAGCGAGGGAATTGGTAGGCCTCGGAACACTTCCACCTGGTCTAATGGCACTGGGTGTCCAAAGGAAGAGCCAGGACAAAGAGGGTGTAGTTCGGAGGACAGTCAGGCTGGAAATTCACCCAGCAGCAACATTAGGGTGATTAGGATCAAGAGGGTGCTGAAGAAGACCTCCACGACCATAGACGAATCCGGTGAAGAAGAGATGGAACAGTCTAGCTATGGAGGGAGGAAGAAGAAGGCCACATTGCGCTATGGAGTCAAGCGGAGGCCTTTGTACTGGTGGAAAAAGGGAGGTGGGCATCAACAAACAGACTTGAGGTACCAGTTGAACATGGGCCTCACCCGTAATTAAAACGTGGCCAGAGGAAGGGACAGTACTACCGTCTTCACCCGAATAGAACGCCCGGTCATTATTGCTGCATCTGGACAGAAAGTTGTGCCAAATACAGCTATAATGACCTGGCGTTCTATTCAGGTGAAGACGGTGGCAGTCGCAGTGGGGTAGGAGTGTGTTGTCCTCTAACAAGATCCCTCACAGGGCTGGGATGATCCACCAAAGCTAGTAGCACTACTGGGAGAAGAGATGGATGGAGAGCCAAAGGAGAGTTCCTTGTGCGCTGGCTGCGAGGGAGGTAATTTGAGCATTGCTACCTTGTTCATTCATCATTCATTGTTACTGTACTGACGACAAATAAGAGGAGAACCTGATGATGGAATCATATTGACAAGGGAGATGGCATCGGTTCAACCTCGAGTTCTTCTTCCTTCCATCGTTCGTCTCCTCCCTTTGTCTCATTCTTATTCTCCTCGAGTTGCGATGAATGGCATTGTCACTTCCCTCGTTCTTCCCCTCCCTTTGTCTCATTCTTATTCTCCTGGAGTTGCGATGAATGGCAGTCACAATGACGAGTTTCGCATCATCAATTGAACAAGATCATAGCGCGCGTGCCAGTCTAACTACACAGATAAATTTTCAAAAAAGTGATATTCAATCAGCCTTTTTGTCATTTTTTAAAACATTTCCACATTTTCTTCATCCCGTTCCCCCCCCCCCCCCCCTTTTTGGTCAGGGGGATAAGGAGGGCTTCACAGTTTCACACTACTTAAATCCTCAAGTAACGTGAAGAGTGAAGTAGATTTCCCACCTACTTTCTGATGAATTGCGGTGAGGGCTTCACAGTTTCACCCTTCTTAATTACTCAAAATGTGAAGACACTCGGAAAAAAAAAGAAAAAGAAAAAAGAAGTGAAGACGCTAAAGACTACTAAAGACTAGTCAAGAGTAAAGTACATTGTCTACTACTTTCTGATGAATCGTGAGTGATTCATGTTGGGAAATTCTGGACACCGTCATCTTAACCTGGTTTCCTTGTTTTCCAGTGACTTCATGTATTTTACTATTAGTATTTACTTATTTGCCAAAGGAAACCAAAAAACCGGGGCCCAGTTCTCAAGGCAATGCATGCATTTTTTATCAAGATGACATCAGTAATAAAATAGCCCAGCGGCGCCCCCCCCAAACCAACCCCCCCCAACCCCCCCACTCCGCCCTCCTTTTAGTTTTATTTGAAGGGCACAAGGGAGTTGAAAAAGGAAAACTTCAAAAAAGCACTTCTATTTACGTCTTCTCTACGACGGAAAATTTCAATTGGACAAAAAGAAAAGATGGCTTACCTCCCCCTCTCCACTGAGTGCCATTGAATGCCATCCACCAGCTGCTATATCCACCTGATTTTCAACCATATCACAGTTTAACAAACAGACACAAATCATTTTCAGATCAAATCAAATCAGATCAGATCAGATCAGATCAGTACTTCTACTAAATCATTATCAGATCAACTCAGATCAGATCAGATCCGTACTTCTACTTCCACAGCCTTCAATCCCTCTGCAGGGCAGCACACGGATTTGCACCGGGACCCTTGGCCTCAACAGCCACGCTTCATAACCACTGCAGCCAAAGGCCCACAACACAGTGTTCAAAAGCGGAACCATACCCGTCATGATATCCAACCCACCCCTGCATGGCTGCAGTGTTCTTACTCACACACACACTCAACGTCACACAAGGCGTTTTCTCGCAGACCTGCTCTTGATCCAGCAAATGCCGCTCAACCACAAGGGGACCTCTCCTGGTACGATTTTCAAGCAGATTACCAAAGCTGATTTACCTTTGATATTAAATACAAAGAAAAAGAAAAAACACTTTTCACCTCTGACTCATTGTCACCAAAGGAGGCTCCACAGAGAAATCAGATGCCTATATTCACTAATCAATGTAATCATCCAAGGGCTTCCTCGTACTACGACCTCCACATATGAATCTCACAGCAAAATTCGGTCTACAAACATCTTGTACGCTGAGCATGCTCCAAGCAATCGTACTACAACCACCATGTATGAATCTCGCGGCAGTGGAGGCAAACTTCAGTCGACAAACATCTTGTGCTCTGAGCATCCTCCAAGCCAAAAGTCGGTTGCACGTCGACAAATGCCATTTTCGTTACGTCATCCGACATTTTGTGCGCTGAGTATATATGTGCTCCAAGCACAAAGTCCGCTGCACATCGAGAAAACTTCATCCACCGGCTGAATTCTTTCCCCAGAGATATGCTTCATCAGTCATTATCCAGATTTTCTTAACCTTATCTACACTTGTGTTATTTTTTTAATATCATGTGAGCTGCCGACGACTTTATTTGTTCTGAAGAGACACAAAAACAAAGCTCCCAGGATGTCAGACCCAAATCAATTAATTAAATTTAATTTATAGCTGCACAGTGCACACGTTCCTTATTTTAAATTTTGAATGCAAAATCAAACAGAGTTCCCAGGAGTCCAGAAAAAAATTCCTAAGTAGCTGCACAGTGCACATGTTTTTCTGAAAAAACGTGTAGTCTGAATTTTGTACACATGATTGAAATTTGAAACACAAGCTAAGAGACGCTCATTGATCATTCCTCCACCCAATAACATAACCAGATCTGGCCGTAATTGCAGCCAGATACATCTAGGACTGTACTCAAGGGAGGATGCCCTTTGTCTATGTACCTTGTTGACAGAAAATAAAAGAGAAAATTGTTTGGGCAACTGGACTTGGTCAAACATGGCATATTCCAATTGACTGCTAAAATGCAGACCTCAGTTTCGAATCCAGATAGACGCCGCCAACTCGGCACCGAGCCGATGAATAAAATCAAGTTTATCAACTGATTCCGAATTAACGGGGGCCGGTCAGTTCGACAATGATATCTCAAGGCCATCATGTTCTTATTTTTTATTTTTTTTTAAACCACTAATACCTTTGACGTCCGGTTTCGACAAGTTCTTGCCAGCTCCCGAACTTTTAGGAGGCCGGGCCCGAAAACGGCTGCCGTTGACAAATCTGATCAGTGGCCGTCGTTTTGTTCCGGCCTCCTGAAAGGTCGGAGGCCCAATATTTTCCAAACCGACAAAGGTACTAGTGGTTTAAGGAATGCAAAAAAAAAAAAAAAAAAAAAAAAAAAAAAAAAAAAAAAAAAAAAACAGTTGATTGTTCGAGTGGTTTTTCCTTTCCTGCAACTGTTTTTTTAGTACAGCTTCACTCCCAATTTAGCTTGGTCTGCTTTCACTTCACTTCTCCAAACGAGTTTTTCATCATAACAAAAAGTTACATGCAATTGAAGACCAAGTAACTTGATTGGAATTTTCTCATAATAACTCATAATAACTCATATAATGCAACGTTTCACATGATTGTGTTGTGCTTCAATCTACTTTTTTCCCCGCCGCACTATAGCAGATATGTGTGCACTCCTCCAGATAACCATTTCAAGACCTTGGCCCGACCAGCTGATAAAGATGAACAACAGAATAGCACGTTCTCGGTGTTTGTGTATCTCCCCTGCTGATTTAAGCCGTGGATGGAGCTGCGAATCTGCCGGCCAGAGAAGAATGAATGATCACTCACAATGTTCTTGCCTGTGAGCTCTGTGACCTCCTGTGGGCATGCTCTGGGTTGCGTGTCTCCCAAGCCTAGCTGTCCGTATTCACAATTTCCCCAGGCCATGACCTGACACAACCACCATAAATGCGGAGTGAGTCATTCTCACAGCATAGAAGAACATTCACCATTCAAAAAACAAGGGAAAAAAAAAAAAAAAAAAAAAAAAAAAAAAAAAAAAAAACAGGTTCAGGCTTGGGAAGATTTTCACGACCAGCCGGTCTGGACTGGCCGGTCACCCGGACGTGACACCTAAACGGGCAGCCGGGGGGGGGGGATTGGAAAACAATTAAAAAAAAAAGAAAAAGAAAAGAAGAAATTGGCGATGGGGGTTTTCCACGACCTCCAAGAAGAGCCCAAATCCGGTGGGCTCTTTTCTTTTTTTGAGTGCTGGCTGTCAAGGGGGGGGAGGAGATTATAAATGAATTTTTAAGGTGCTTAAGGGGTTTATAGGGGGGTGCCTTAGTGTGATTTGGTTATTTTCTTTTTTAATCTTCAGTTCCATGACGAATTCTGATGTGACCCTCAGCTAAAAGTTGTTTGTATTCCAATTCGCTCTCTCTTTCAGGCGGCGGCCTCTATGGATATAACGATCATGAACTCCGAGGCCTCTACAGCTAACGATCATATTCTCCCGAGTTTCCATTCCGTACAGTGCGAATATATTACAAAATCACAGACGTCCATTCCGCTCCCGTGGACGATGCAAGCATGTCATCCGGACCAACAGTAATGTCAGGCAGACCATGTGCGACGCAGATAAAAACCACGCAGATAAAAACCACCCTTTGCAACTGAGCTCAAAATATTACCTGGGAAACCTCATCAAGGCCGGTCGGGGTTTCATTATTATCAACAAACCTGATGTCCAGACCTGTTGTCATTCGGAACATCCCTTAAAATTGGAGCGATACAGAGAAAGAAGATTAGCATAACCCCTGCGCACTCTCAAGGATGAAACATAGATCGAGAACCAGTCCAAATAAAAAGGCAAGAAGAAGGAAAAAAACTTAAAAAAAGCCATCCAGACCGGTTTATCACTCCGCCTGAACGAATGAGATCCACTTGGGGAGTAACTAAAGATGTCATGTGATTGTATTACCGCAGCTATGGTGTTTTCCAGGCCATTTAACGTTTCTCAGACGCACATGCAGGCATACTCCATGCAACATGGACAAAGATAACCTGATGACCACAATCGCAAACACACAGACACGGTCACAACATGCAGAGATTGCATTCTCTGCGCGTTTGTGACCATGTTCATCGGGTGTTTGTGAGTTTTGCGACCATATTCATCAGGTATTTGTTCCCATGCTCTCTGTTCGTTTGTCACCGCTTCCATCAGGTGGCGCAAATCAGCAGGATTCAAATCCCGCTAGAACACCTTGTTGCTCAGGCATGGCCCTTAAACCACCAGTACTTAGCCCAGCTATCGGCCAGGCGATTCCCGTTAACGCGCCGGTAGTTGCGCTCTTTGGGGCACCGATCCACAATGGCTGGAAGCGCCAGCCAAATTGAAAACGAAACGGTGCCCCGGCGGCTCGGCAGAACTCGGCGCGCCGGGACTATCCCGGCTCGGCATCAATAGCTGGGCCACGTACTGGCGGTTTAACAGCTGCTAAAGACCCAAAAAATCAGAAGTTCTGGAAATCAGTCCACACAAAAAAAGCACTCCGAAACTAGAACAAAAAAAAATAAAATAATGACAAGATTGACTACAAACTCCACACAAAAAAAGCACTCCGAAACTAGAACAAAAAAAAATAAAATAATGACAAGATTGACTACAAACTCTTCGACACCTCACAAACAAATCGCGACGCGAAATTCAAACCGAAAGACAACTTAGACAGGTCCAAAATGAAGACAGCCTCAGACAGGTCAAGAGCATGACACCATAGATATTTTCATTGCATAGCACCACAAGAAGACTCGTCATTCATACTACCAAAGAGTATGAGACCACGATGTTTTATTGCTACATATTAGTGCCCGTGTCAGTGTTTGTGGCGCTATCAGGCATACCCACCATCGAGTCACATTCTTGCAACCTAAAAATTCGACAGAATGTCGCAAAGTGACCTTGGACAGAGATTCAGGCGAGGACGTAATTACCTCTTGCGATTGACAGAGGGCCACGCAATGAAAAGCGCCAGATGCTATCATCATGACATTTTCTAGCCCTGGCACTCGCACAGGCTTCCACCTCTCGGTCCTACTGCATTTCTCAGCACACCCATGCAGCCACCGCAGCAACACAAGTAATTCAAGAAAAAGTAGGGACAGCCAGACAAGAAAAGAAGAATCGCCAGAGGACCGCATGTTAAAACTTTGGCACAGTATGAAACAAGCATAACAATGTCAGAAAGATAGCACAAATAAATAAGTAAAACATTAAAAAAAAAAAAAAAGATCAAGCAGAGGGTTATCGGATGTCTCATTCACAGAATCAGGTGGTACTATGCAGAACAACCCAGCTGATACATCATCCACTTGAGGAGTTATGATGTTCTCGAGTAGAAGACCATGTGCATGGATTCAGGATCGCAACGTGGCAACCTCTCATTAAAAAATCGGGTTGCAAGGTTTGTACCCAGTAATACAACCAACTCCAATGGCTTCGCTTCAGGAGATTCGCTGCTCTCTGTTCGAACTCCACACGCATGGACTTGGGACCACCAAAGCGCCACACATAATTCCACCTTAACTGGTGTTCCAGGTTGGTTACCTGCTTGTTCTATCACCCACACTGGTCGCAACTCAGAGAATAGATCGGTAGCTCTGTGTGAGAAAAGAAACACCGAGTTAACACGGTGACTACAGTGCTTCTGTACGTCCAACACAGCCCCCCTTCCCCTTGCTGCTAGCTTACTTCCTATCTTTCCTTGTCTTGGTTTTATTTTTGTGTTCACCCTCCCTGTCCTGGCTGTAGTGGTTAAGAGACTTGGCTCTTGAGGCCGAAGTCTCCGGTTCGAATCTGTGCTTGCACGGAGGCGGACTTAGGCCCAGACGTGCGGAATCCATACTACTGTGGAAGCGCCCGTGAACCGCGGGCATTGATAAGTCCCGTCTGTGTGAGCGGGTAAGAGTACCAGCGGTGACTACAGAGCAAAGTGTACGAGAATTGCCGTGTCCGTGGGTGTTGTGTGTGGTGTGTGTTGAGTTGGACACTACAGCCTTGCAGGGGTGGGGTGGATATCACGACCGGTACAATTCCACTTTCGAACACCGTGTCCTGGCTGTAGTGGTTAAGAGACTTGGCTCTTGAGGCCGAAGTCGCCGGTTCGAATCTGTGCTTGCACAGAGGAGGACTTAGGCCCAGACGTACGGAATCCATACTACTAATTTTTCCACATCGCTCCTCATTGTACTGCTCGCTGCTTCTTCGTTACCAGGATGTTGGCCGCGCTACGAGGGCTGACCACGTCCCCCAGATTCACCGACAGAGAACGCCCAGTCATTTTGGACGTATCTTGGGCAACTTTCCAGTGCAGATACAGCAATAATGGCCGGGCAATGCGGCATAGTAACCGACCGGACGTCCGGACCGGGTTCCAGACAGTCCGAAACATGTCCGGGTCCGGTGTTCGTTCCGTCACATCCGGATGGAGGCCACGAGGGCAAAAATCGGAAAAAAAGGGCCGCTTCTACGTGCCATGCGTACCAACACCCCCACCCACCCACCCCCCCACCCGTTTTTCCCGGACATTTTGCACCCCCGCCCCACGGACACCGGTCCGGACTGTCCGGGTCCGGCAATGTCCGGATCAACGGACAGTCCGGACTGGTCCACACACTAGTCCGGAAGTGTCCGGTGTCCGGGCCAGCGGTTACCATGCAATGCAGGGATTCCATATTCTGTTCGGGTGAAGATGGTGGTGAATGACATACACAGTTGAGCAAAGACACAATGTCGAGAGAAAGCACACATGCGTATTCTTACATGTCCATGGCAACAAGAGGCTGACCCCATGTCCACACTTGACCATCATCAGTGAGCACTAGCGAATGCATCCCTCCAGCTGCCACCTGCGCCAGAAACCAAGGCCAAAGCACACACGATCTTGTCAGATCATACGCCGACATTTCTTTTTTGTGTCCATATGATAACATTCTCTTTGATACTGGAAAAAAAAAAAAAAAAAAAAAAAAACCTGCTCACTGGGATCAAAGCTCATCATCAAAGTTCATCAAACCATACCATCGCATGCTTCAGGACGGGTGAATTTCAACTGTCGTGCTTTATTCAGGCAAGCAATGTTTCTCCACCGGATTTCTCCGTCAGGGCTTTATTCAGGCACACAATGTTTGGGACTTGCAAAACTTGTCTCTGCATTCCTGGGATAAGAAATGGAAAACATGATGGTCTGTCGTATGTCCCCTCTCACCTGCCGAACGCGGAGCTGGGTGGCGCATCGCATCGGCCGCACCACATCGAACCGGCTCTGTTGTTGATCCGCCTTCCGATTTTTATCCACTCGCGCCGCACATTGTCCATACTCGTTTCCTCCTTCACAAAGGACAAACACAGATGCGAAGCGCAAACAAATCCACAGAGGAAAAAAACATTGGATACTCGTAGACAAGATCCTTTATTAGGCATAGATCACTTCTTGCAAGGGAAATAGACATCCCATAGTACATTCCATCCAATTGGTCTTTCACAAGATAGAAAAGAAAAAAGACGATGGTCATTATGGCTGCAATGCAGATCCCAAACAAGACAAGGTATCCGCATAACACCCACATGCTGCATTCTGCCAAGAGCACCGGGCATGCAGTTTTTTTTTTTTTTTTTTTCCTTTTCACAATTTGACTATTCATAATCAAAGACTCGAAACACAAGAACTTGAGAAAAGAAGGTTATCAAGAACTCAAGACATCAATAACAACAACAGGATGTGTTGAATAAACGTTTCTCTTTCCCCCTCCTTAAAGCACCAGTACATGGCCCCGGCCACGTTCAGAAAACCCTATTGAGCCTCTCCTACAATTTTGGAGGCTCTCCCACCGCAGATAAAACGTGAACCGGCTGCCGGCAGCCTCCCACAGGGGGGGGGCTGTGGCGGATAGCTGGCATGCACTGGTGGTGCAACAGAGCCATTTTTGTCTTTCCATGCAGATCATAGGAACACCGTGGACAGTGAAAAACTTCAGAAACAGAACGGAAATAGCGAGGAGAAAAAAAACGGAAAACGAAATGTTGTGTGGCATTGTGCACTTGGAAAACAATGCAGCACCTGGGCGTGGTTCCATTAGCAGCTGGACGAGATTGAAGTAGGACGTACGTGGCCTGAACTATTGTCTTCTGCTGTTAGAATCGCATGTGGCACGGGCAATCGTGCGTGCGGCCATAGAACAGACGGATGTGATAGAACTGTTTCCTTATCACAAGGGAAGGCAAAAAAACTCAAAGAAGGGGCCTCGTCGCACAACTCCCCAAACACGATAAATCGTGTTCAACTCGAATCGCTGATGTGTAATATTTGGCAGTAATTATAGAGTAAAATGAACAACAGGGTATCGCCTTTCCGTCTGATGATGATGCAATAGGGATAAGGAATGAGTGGCCAAGAAGGCTCCCATACCCCATGCATACGCCCGACCTTCGACATCAACAGCTAGACAGTGCCAGCCCCCAATTGCAGCCTGCAAACAAATCATACTCAACGTTAGTCGACAAGCGACAAGCGGATATTTTGAAACCACTGGGCTACTATAACCTTGATTGGGCCAAAAAACTACAATCAGACAGAAAAGCTCGCCATCCAATTAAATATTATGTAACTGCCTGATCCATCCTTAAGCGGACCATAGGAGACACGAAAAACAATACAATGACTGCATACAGAGGAAACACGAAAACCAACAAAACAATGTATATAGGACACTCGAAAAACAGCACAACGATGTTTGCCTTCTTGTTGCGTTTCTGCAGGTGTCATCATTTACACCTCACCACTGAATCTCACCCACATTTCCTACTCTCCCATGCAGCACAGTATGTATTATTTACTTTCCCGGATAATCTCTAGAGACCACCTTTACAAAATTTTGAAACTTTTGAAACTACTATAATTACTATACTATACCCCCACAACACATATACTTGTTACTGATCATACCGCAAATTTCCCCGCGTTCCCTTCGGCATGTCAGGACTCTTACTGATTTCTCTCCTTCTGGCAATCCACATGAACAATCTGTGAGCAAAGTTGTACTTCAAAATTCAAGCTAGACACGGCAGCCGATAACAGTACGCAAAAAACATTCCGTATTGCTCTCTGGATGTCAGGATCCGACACGCAAACATATTCCCTACTGCCATCCGGACATCAGGATCACAGTCTGGGCCTCACTCCACTACACAACACTCTTCAGGCATTTGAATGCCTTCTGGACAAGGCCCATTTGAAGGTATCCAGTCCAGAAAGCGTCCAGGTGCATATAGAGCATTATGTAGTGAAGCGAGGCCTTATTCCCCCTACCGAGTGTGCTTAACAAATTTCCTTTATACCCCACGAGCGATCCGTTAGCCTTGGCAGCACACTACACTGTGTGAGATATCATCAATACAAAAGAATAAATGCCCCTTCCCCACACCCAATTTCAGAAAAAGTCCACCTAGAACTCACGAGAATAATAATGCGAGCCAGAATTCATCACTTCAAAGTTCAAACTCAAGAATTCAGACCCAGCTCATTCTGAATGTACCGAAGCAATTCATTGACCCCTCTTAACCCACTAGCACCCTCTTTTTCCTAATGTGCGACGTTGCCAGCCTCTAAAATTTTGGTAAAACATTGTTGGCGAGGGCCTACAGACCCAACCCAGACTCCAGGGTCCAGTAGGCCGAACCTTTTTGCGACACCTGGTTAACCAGCGGGGTGCACACGGGCAGCTGGCCACGGTTACTGTCGGTTTAAGACCTAACGCCAATAAGCTACGACAAAGCAGCGGTCCAACCCAACATCTAAAACACAAGTTGTTGAACTGGTGTCACTTGAAATCTTTCAATAATTGACTTTGTTGGCCACCCACATTTCACGATGCTTTTGAAAAGCTGCAACTTCATCACGATATGCAAAAATTAGGGGCATACTCCAACTACCATCTTCAACCAAAAATAGCGGCCGGGCGATATATTCAACTTCCCCGAAAAAGATCAGATTTGCATTTTTAATCTCTTTTTCTCAAATAGAACGCCCCTTCAAATAGAAGGGTCGGGCGTTATATTCGAATAGAATGCCCGGGCGTTATATTTGAATGTTCCATGCGCAGAGTGCCTTGTAGAGGTAATAGACATGGGTTTGAAAGGGCGGGGTGGGGATATGCAGGGTTTGAAAGGGCAGGGTGGGGATATGCATGGGTTTTAAAGGGGGTTGAAAGGGGTTTCGACTTCAAGTGGCATATTTCGGTTTGAATTTTTTCTTTTTCTTTTTCCGAGTCTGTAAGGAATTCTGTAGTGACCCTCAGCCTGAACAACATTTTTTTTAACAGAATTTTTTGAATTTTTGTTTCCCGGAATTTCAGGGGCCCACCGAAGTTGCCACCAATTTACTCATTATGACGCCCGGGCGTTATTTTCCGGTGAAGACAGTAGCACTATCTTCTTTTCTTTTCTTTTTAATTTTCTTAATATAATTTGGACCATATCTCGATTTATGCATGTCATCCTTGCGCAGAGGCCATGCTAATCTTCTCTGTACGGTTCCAATTTTAACGGATGTCCCCGAAGGACACAACTAGCACTATCTTAAATGTATCTGACCACATTTACACCCAGACCTGTATGCATGTGGCCAACATTCCATCCAGAAACGAGTAAAAAAGTGCTAGTGTGTGGGCATGCGCTGAGAAGTTGAGAACCTTTCAGCCTTTCATCTATCTAAGGGAGAAGAGAGCTGCCCTCACCTGCACAATGCCCGACAGATCCTTCACCTGCCAATACAAACCGCAATCATCACCCACATAGTACACGCACTACAGTCAGGCATTGCCCCAGCACACGCAATTAGCCTACAGTAGGCCCAAAGTAGCCTAAATAGCCCAAAATCGCCAATTTCAGCATCATGTCCCACTGGAAAATGATTACCACAAGTACTCAGTTCACCAATAGGCCGGATGTCGACCAGCACCAACAAGGATTGGAAAAAAAGAACACACTGAGAGGACTCCAGAGGGTTGCTACGACGATGTTGGCGCTTGCCTCCCTAAGTATTAAACCCATGTTTCACTCCACAACCTTTACTCGAACAACCTCCGCAAGCCGCGCTGGAAAATATTAGAGCACAAGTACTCAGTCCGCCAATAGGCCCAAGCCCGACCAGCACCAAGTACCGGAGATTAAAAAAAAAAAAAAAAAAAAAAAAAAAAAAAAGAGCAGAGAAGACTCGGAGAATTGCTACAATGGTGTTGGCTTGCCTCCCTGAGCATTACACGCATGTTTCGCTCCCCGACTTTTACTTGAACAACCTAAACAATCGATCTCTGACACGACAGGACGAGTGCAACAAGATCTGTCTGCTGATGGATACAATGACAACAGCATACGTGTGACGATGCTACAAGTACGCAGGAACCATGCCAAGAATCTAAACAGTCGGCAAGACAGAAAGCACATGGGAGGCAGCTGTACTGAGCATGCAACAATACTCGCAGCCCTCAACGAAGTAGACGAGGGACCGATATTTTCTACTGACCTTGGAGGGTGTGCTCTCACACTTGACAGATGGAGGATGTCCAAGAGTCCCCCTCTGATTCCAACCCCATGCGAGAACCTGTGTGTCATAGACAGAAAAGACCGGACGACCATGAGCATCGCGATAGCATTCCCGTGGTTTGAGCCAAAGTTTACAGTTGTTTCCTCTTTCAAAATGTTCACAGTTGCATTCCATGACAATCCTTCAGTCTTTTCTTCCTCGAACCACAATCCGCATGGAACAAACTTCCCATTCACGTGCTTGCAGCCAGGTCAGGTGCCCATCATCCATATAGCTTGAGAAGCCTCACCAGATCCGGTTGTGGCATCAACAGAAACGTAACTCAGCAACAGCATTAATTGTAAATGAAAGTCGTAAATAGAATGCCCAAGGGACGAAGGAAGAGCACTGGAGGCTATAGTGAAACCGCAGGAGAATCATGCTCCATAACTTTCCACACACGGATTTATGCACAAATTCGAATTCAAATGAATTGGGTAATGAGAGGGGGTGACTCGGGCCTTACCGATCCATCTCCACAGACTGCAAGCGAATTCCGGCTCCCTGACACGAGCTGAGAAATTTCCAAACCAGTAAGACTTTGCACTTCCTTTGGCCAATGCTGGTCCAATGTATTTCCAAGACCTAGCTGGCCATCTTCTCCAGCTCCCCTGCAACAAAGAACCAAAGAACCAGAACAGACGTTTTCCGATTACAAAAACTGACATTTGACATGTGTAATAAAAATCCATGAGATGGGTGTGGCCAGTGCAGCTACGCTGGCAACTGACTGTTAGTAGTGCGCAATTTGCAAAATAAGGGGGTTTTAACAAAGTTACGGTGCACTGCTACAGTGTGCAGTGCGGTGCGGGCCGCTGTGCGCCATGCGCAAGAGAGTGGTGCATGTACACATGCGCGAAAACAAAAAAAAAAAAGAAGAAAATGAAAAAGAAAGAAAGTCATGCGTGCATGTGTGTGTGAGAGAGAGAGAGAGGTCCTGCCTGTGTGTGTGTGTGTGAGAGAGAGAGCGAGAGAGAGAGAGTGAGTGGTCGTGTGTGCATGTGCGTGTGTGTGTGTGTGTGTGTGTGTGTGTGTGTGTGTGTGTGTGTGTGTGTGTCTGTGTGTGAGAGAGAGACAGAGAGAAGGGCAAGGTGTTCACCTCAGGGCAGGCTGTTCCATGACCCTTGCACTTTTTTGGGGGGGGTTTGTTTCCTTTTTTTGTTCCGCCGCATCAGGTGCGGTGCTCGAGGTGTGCCAGACGTGCACTGCGCCGCACATCAATGCGCCGGAAGTATGGTTTTTAATATCATGCATTACTGGTACTACAAGCAAACAGGGCTTCTGGAACAGAAGACAGGCAGATCGAGCAGTTTGCACAAACAAGGGCAAACAACATAATTACGAACAATTGATCTGAGAAGCACAGAAGAAAGGAGCACGGTTACAGATTTCTGCCAAAAGGCTCCAGTCTGCCCACACCAACTTTCACTCTGTGCAACAGTTGTTTGTACTCCTCTAAGCCACCATCCATCTGGGCCTCCCTTTTCCAATACGGATTTCAGCCACGCACCGAGTCCGTCAGAAGCAGAGCGGCCACAAAATTGTCGAGCTACCAGCAATTGTACCTGGTAGGACCCACCAACTATTTTGTAATGGGTAGAGCGGCGCATCTGAAGAAAAGAATCGCAAAACATACTGCTGGTTTAATGGGACACCGGCCACATTGGAAACACATGACACACACACCCGGTCAACTGACGGTCCTCGACAAATGAACGGTTCTTCCAGCCATAATGGCAAGAAGACTCAGATAAAGAAAAACGACCTAGGATGATGGACCCACATTCCAGCAGACCATGCTCCCCACAAACAGACCATAGCAAGACTTATGAAAACATCAAAAAAGAGAAAAAAGAGAGGGTAAATAGAAGAAACAACATACCAACCAACAGAAGGGATCCAGATTGTCGTTACAAGAAAGAAAAAGATAGGGAGTTTTCACCTGATAGGGCTTCTCTGAAGGTTAGGGCATTCTCTTAGAACCCACCGATAGGGTGCTTTCATATTTCATTTTCCAAACAAAAATCAACACATCAAACTACATAGATACGATGTTTCCCTCTAGGGTGTTTCGCGAGCAACCTGCCTTTGAGAAATAAACTCCTCTCCAACAAGAACTCACTGATCAGCATGCATGAGCAGACCAAACTTTGAGCACCACTCAGGAGGACAAGAACGCACAACACCGAAGTCTCTTGATTATGAAAGCCCTCTTCTTGCCTCCACCCAATCAATACAACAAGAGACTTCCCGACTCTCGCACGACGACTACCTTTCTCGACTCTCGCACGACGACTACCTTTCTCGACTCTCGCACGACGACTACCTATACTACTGCCTACTCTACCTTATCCACTTAATCCACCATGCCAACGAGCCCTTTCCAGCTTCTGCCAATGACAGGTTACATAGTCTGACCACGAGGAGCTCTCCCTGGCAACCGACCACCAGGTAAAAATAACCAGCTAAATGCTCCTCAACCTTCCGCACCACCAGCCTCACCACCAGCCTCACCACCAGCCTCAATGATCACCCTGCTATACTGCCACCTTAATGTACAAGGCGCCCCTTCACCTATGGCACCTCGCTTCTCCGCCAGTGCCCACAGCTACAGTGGGCATGGCATCAATCGTCCCTAGAACAGTATGTTGACTTGGTGCTACCGGAGAATTGCAATGCCTGCATCCAAACATGTCCTGACTGACCCAGCCTCGACTTATATACAAAGGTTGGGCCGTTCTTTGGCCGGTAGGTAATGCCCACCCAAAAGTGCCAGAGTCAGCCCAACCTACCAGGTCCAAGCAGAATTACTAGGGCCTCCCATCTGGGCTTACCGCACGCTACTCCCTCGGACCCAAGACCCGGGGCCTACTGCTCATATACTGTCTACCGTGCAGCCCAGCGGCCTCACGGTCCCACCTCCTTGGATTCACGCTACTTTGCAACACCCTCAACCTTGCCATTGCTTTCTTTTCAGTGCTCTCTCATAGCTTCTGACCACTTGAGGTCAGGGGACTTCATCAACTCCTCTCTTGTGAACCACCTACCTTCATTTGGGTCCCCATGAGGTCGGAACCAAACTCCGAACTCCATTTGTGGCTATGGTCTACCCTTTGGCTTAGGCACCAGCATATACCCATGCTCTTGATAGGAACCCGGGGGAGGTGACAGTGGTGATCTTTGCGAGGGAAATTGACCGCTTGCTGAAAAGGTGACAGTTTGGATGCATGAAAGATCAGGTAAGTGGGAACACGATGAGGCACATCAATCACAAAGGACGGACCAGTAGGATCATCACCTACAATGTCAATAACTGTTCAGTGGGCTGCAACACTGCAGCATCGACTCCCGTGAGATCTTTTCCACCGGTGCAAATTCGGACAACTAAACCCACACCACATTGCCAACCCAGATCGAGGGCATTCCTCTATGCTCATTTTCTTGCTTAGTCACGAGCTGCTTGGATTATCGTAACTCTTCTATAGATTTCTACACACACCGTTTGTACTATAATGTTCCAGGACTTGACGAGTCCAAATCAAGAATAATTTAACATCGCAACACAAACAAGCGGTCACCCCAAAGATGCCCTTCTAAGAACAAGGAGAAGCTTAAGATATTCTGCAATCCACGGGTGAGCAAGCACCACAGCATGTGCTCCGCCTCATCACCAGGGCCCTCCAGCAAAACGCTCTTCCTCACAGTGGCTCACCCAGCTATTGAAGCCAAGCCTGAAAATGCCCTACGCACCCAAAAAAAAAGACGAACGGTCGGCGGCCACATTTTGGCTGACGCCACCAGCCATTTTGGTTCGCTACCCCAATGACCCCAAGTTGCACCCTTATACAGCTGCATATTTGTTTTTCAAGCAGGGAAAGGTACTAGTGGTTTTAAGAATCCTTTGGCAGCTGAACCAGCCCAACACACCCGACCTACTGTTGCTTGCTTATACTATCACTTGATGATCAATCCACGCTGAGAAACTACAAGCCAATTCACCAATGAAAAGACACTCACCACCCGCCTATCCTCCCTTCACCCCTCTGCCCATCCACTCCCAACCCAGCAGATGACTTGTCCAACTGGCAAGAAATCAATACACTGCCAGTCAATCTTGTTGCTGACAGCTCAGATGATATCTCGCCGACCAGGATGGTGACCTGGCAAAGAAACCACTCTGCAATACCAAATCGCAAGGAACCTGCCTGTGAGAACTCAATTCAACTGATCCCGCATGTGCGAGTAGGCAAAACTAAGGGCACATCACAATGGCCTACAGAAGGAAAGAAAACTGTGCTCCTCAACCAGCAGTTACTTTCAGTAAGCTAGGCCATAGTTAATCATTAGTACATCATTCGGTCGGGCCTCAGATCAATTCAGTCAATTTTGAATTGATTTGGCTGTATGGCGTACTATGACTACGTGATTACTTACCCACTCTCTTGATTGTGAGACCCCTCTTCTCACCTCCATGCAACCAATACAGGAACGGAGTAGCAATTCCAGATTCTGAAATCACTTCATTTGATTCATACAACAACATAATTCCCAACAGAGTAGCCTACCTAACTCATCCACCATACCACCAACCTCTGTCCCACTTCTTCAAATGACCATTTGAAGTGTTTGGTCACACTCAAGCTCTCCATGATTCTGAAATCACTTCATTCGATTCATGCAACAACATAATTCCCAACATAGTAGCCTACCCAACCCATCCACCATACCACCATACCACCAACCTCCCACTTCTTCAAATGACCATTTGAAGTGTTTGGTCGCACTCAAGCTCTCCATGCCAAGCACCAGGCAAGTGCCCACCAACCCTCCTCACGGCTTTTCTCACCGCCCAAGAACCACCCCCCTCCCCTACCGCCACCTGTACTATACAACGCACCTCTTCACCTATGGCGCATGTGCTGTTCACCAGCACCCAGGGCTATGGCACTATAACTGCACAGTGTCGCACTCAAGCTCTCCATGGCAACCACCAGGTACGTGCCAGCCAACCGTCCTCACAGCTTTTCTCACCGCCCCAGGACCCTACCTACCTCAACCACCATACCACCAACCACTGTCCCACTTCTTCAAGTGACCATTTGAAGTTTGGTCACACTCGAGCTCTCCATGCCAAGCACCAGGTACGTGCCCACCAACCCTCCTCACGGCTTTTCTCACTGCCCACGGACCACCCCCCTCCCCTACCACCACCTGTACCATACAACGCACCTCTGCACCTATGGCACCTGCGCTGTTCACCAGCACCCAGGGCTATGGCACTATAACTGCACAGTGTCGCACTCCAGCTCTCCATGCCAACCACGAGGTACATGCCCACCAACCGTCCTCACGGCTTTTCTCACCGCCCCAGGACCACCCCTCCTCTACCACCACCCTTACTATACAATTTGCGCTTCACCTACAGCGCCTGCGTTCTTCACCAGCACCCAGGGCTATGGCGCTATAACTGCACAGTATCACCCCTTCCTCCAAGACAAGTCTTGATCCATCGCATCTGCAGCACAAAAATTTACCTGCGTCCTAGTGTGTCTTGATGAACCCAAACCTGACTTATCTACAGACGTCCGCCCCTTTTTTCTGGGTGGCATAT